CCTCATTCCCCCTCTAAACATCCTGGGTGAGGATTGCAGAAAAAAGTGAGTTCCTAGGTGCAGAATCCTTTAGCACTTTGTAGAATAGTGGAAGAAGAAGACAGTGTTTTTATTATTTGAGCTGAGCTAAGGTTAAAGTTTGAAGGCAGAAACGTATTCATTTGAATTTGGATGGGAATCTTCTAATCTCTTTGAAAAGAAAGTCTAATTTCCTTAATCTAGAGGCAGGCTACTTAAAAGAACTTTCTGTGATGATGGTGCATTTTTTTATTTTTTAAATTTATTTATTTATTAATTATTTCAGAGAGGAAGGGAGAAGGAGAGAGAGATAGAAACATCAATGATGAGAGAGAATCATTGATTGGCTGCCTTCTGCACGCCTCACACTGGGGATCGAGCCTGCAACCTGGGCATGTGCCCTGACCAGGAATCAAACCGTGACCTCCTGGTTCATGGGCTGACTCTCAATCACTGAGCCATGCCAGCCAGGCATGATGGTGCTTTTGAATACTTGTAATGTGGCCAGAGTGTCTGGGTAACTCACATTTTAACTTTAAACATTGAAATTTAAATAGCCTCATGTGGCTAGTGCAGTGGTCTGCAAACTCATTAGTCAACAGAGCCAAATATCAACAGGACAGTGATTGAAATTTCTTTTGAGAGCCAAATTTTTTAAACTTAAACTATATAGGTAGGTACATTGTTATTAACTTAATTAGGGTACTCCTAAGGCTTAGGAAGAGCCACACTCAAGGGGGCAAAAAGCCGCATGTGGCTCGCGAGCCGCAGTTTGCCGACCACGGGGCTAGTGGATATCGTATTGAACAGCACAGTTCTAGAGACTAGGACCTATCTACCACCCATTTTGCCCATCCTTTGTCTTCCTCCAACCAGATAGATCAGAAAATCTTTTCCCTCGTTTCTGAAATCTAATTTGAACTTACAGGTTGGAAATCCTCATGTAGTCTGGGAGTTTCAGCATCCTTCTCTGGTGTGCATGGTTTTTGAACAGCAAAAACCGGTGTCATCTCAACTGGGTCTGGAGTTGATCTTTGGATCAAGGAGCATACCCTTCCATTGATATCTTATTATCATTGGAAAACAATCTCTAAAAATGTAATCTTTTTTTTTTTGTTGGTCTGAGTCATTTTCAGCCAGAAGGGAATCTCTTCCCAAGCTTCCAGGCCAGACCTTGGTGGCTAGGGTAGGTTTACAAAACATTCCTCACTTTCCAGTTGTTGCTCAGAAACTTTTGGGCTGATATTTTTTACTGTGTTTGATAATGTAATGTGCTAATTGTAACCTCCCAGTGATTCTGTGCAGGGAATTATTTGGTGGGGAAATTTTGAACTTGTATTTTCTCACTGAAGTAAATTTTTTTTAATTTTCAAAGGCTTAATTGCGGTATTAAGGTGATGGACACTGTGGGCAAATATCCAAATGCTGGCATTGACAGGAAGCAGAGATAGTTTAAAAGGGATTCCGTTAGCTTATAAGCAGAAAGCCATTTACTTTATTTTCTTGATGGTATCTGTGAGTTGCACATCTGTCTGCAGCGGTGACTTTTTTGGTGTGTTACAGGTATGCACAACCACATACACATGGGAGCAGGACCTCCACCTCAGTTTAACCGGATGGAAGAAATGGTACAGAAAGGGAAAAGGGGTAGATGGAGGAGGGAAAGGGAAATGCGTGTAATAGCTTTTGAAATCACTTTTCCCATCAATTACCTATGTTTTGTTTTATTTTATTTTATTATTATTTTTTAAAATAAATTTTTATTGATTTCAGAGAGAGGGAAGAAGAGAGAGAGAGAAATATCAACGATGAGAGAGAATCCTTGATTAGCTATCTCCTGCATACCCCACACTGGGGATTGAGCCCACAACCCGGGCATGAGCCCTGACTGGGAATCGAACCGAGACCTGGTTCATAGGTCGATGCTCAACCACTCAGCTCTGCCATCTGGGCACCTGTGTTTTGTTTAATTTGGGTCTCCAGAAATGTAGAGGGTTTAGGTTCCAATCTTGATGTTTTTCACTGATTTTTCAATTCATTTTTAAATACGTGCCATATACAAAGTCCCACATAAAGGAGGGTGGGGACTTGAATGAGAGTCAGCCTTCTGGAAGTCTTCTGCTCAGGCCTGTTTCTTTATTTCAGGGTGTCCAGGGTGGGCGAGCCAAACGCTATTCATCTCAGCGGCAGAGACCTGTGCCAGAGCCCCCGGCCCCTCCCGTGCATATCAGTATCATGGAGGGACATTACTATGATCCACGTGAGCTTTTTTCTTAATGTTGGGGTATCTTTTTTGGCTTGGTGAAGCAAACTAAATAGACCAGCCTCCTGCCTTCTGCTTTTCTTTCTGACCTTTCACAGTGGTTGTCATTATCTGGTTGGTGCTTTCTTCACATGGAAAATTGAGAACATCTCTTAAAGGGTTTGGGAGATGGGCAGACTTGTCCATGTGATATGAAGAATGAGAGTTTATGAGAATCCCAATGTGATGTTTTACAGTGCAGTTCCAGGGACCAATCTACACCCATGGAGACAGCCCTGCGCCACTGCCTCCTCAGGGCATGATTGTGCAGCCAGAAATGCACCTTCCCCACCCAGGTAAGCATTGCACCTATCCTTGTGTGCTTCCTGTACATGAGGATGTGTATTGGGGGCTTTACAAACCCCATCCTCCTGAGCTCAGTGCTGCTTGCCTCTGAGGCTGGCCACTCTGGCTGCTTGGGCAACAAAGCTCATGGGTCCATCCTAAGGACTTCCATCCCGAGCCTGTCTATGCTGGAACTGGTCATTTTCTATTTTAATTTGTTTCCCTCTCCTTGTTCAGGTTTACATCCCCATCAGACACCAGCACCTCTGCCCAATCCGGGCCTCTATCCTACACCAGTGTCCATGTCTCCAGGACAGCCACCACCTCAGCAGTTGCTCGCTCCTACTTACTTTTCTGCTCCAGGAGTCATGAACTTTGGTAATCCCAGCTACCCTTATGCTCCAGGAGCACTGCCTCCCCCACCACCTCCTCATCTATATCCTAATACACAGGTGAGATGGCTAATGAACAGATTTTTAAATCAGACAGGAATGTGGTATGGGGAGAGTGCTCAAGAAATTTGAGAGAATATTTCAATGCCACTAATTTACATGTGGTGCCCGGATGCCTCTTAGTGGTCAGCACCTGGAAATGCAGCTTATGTAATGCCCATCATCTGTTTATTCTCTTCCATTTCTTTTATTTTTAAAATTTTTATTGACTTCAGAGAAGGGAGAGGGAGAGAGAGAAACATCAATGATGAAAGAGAATCATTGATTGGCTGACTCCTTCCTGTATGCCCCCTACTGGGGATCAAGCCCACAACCTGGGCATGTGCTCTTGACCAGAATCAAACCTGGGACCCTCTATTCACTTAGCCAAACCAGCTAGGGCTCTTCCATTTCTTTAATGGTGTTTCATTTAAGTGTTTTAGTATGTCTTAGGTGGCCATTTATTCAACAGCATAAAGAAACTATTCTGTTTACCAGCCCTATCTCTCCCTGTACTGCTTAACTCCCCCTAAGTTGAAACCATCTGGTGTCTAGTGTCATCACTGAGCTCAGCCTCTTCCATTTGTCAACTGATGGTAGGAATTAGAGAAAGCTGGGCAGTACTTTGAAGAAATAGGAACTGGAGCATAATTAGACATAGTAAGACAGAAATGAATATTCATTTTATTTTTAAGGGGTGCAGCTTAGAGATTTAAAAAATTATAAATTCCGTAATACTTTTATTTTTGCGCCTGAATAATGTTTAATGTTTTCTGTTCATCATAGTTTGGATTAAGTCCTAACTTTCTCTTCTGGCTTGTGGGGTGTCCAGGCCCCATCACAGGTATATGGAGGAGTGACTTACTATAACCCCGCCCAGCAGCAGGTGCAGCCAAAGCCCTCACCACCCCGGAGGACTCCCCAGCCAGTCACCATCAAGCCCCCACCACCTGAGGTATGAGAGCTTCTTCCCATGCTTTAGGGCACATCCTACATCGGTGGGCTTTCCTTTTCTTCAGAAGATTTCCCTTCTGTTCTGGGTGTGTTTTTATTGAAACAGTTGTCTTTTTTTTCTTTTTTCTTTTCTTGTCTTTTTTTAATAACCTGATAACATATTCTAACTTTATTATTTCAGGTTGTAAGCAGGGGTTCCAGTTAATATGAATTTCTGAATATTTTAAATCTAACATGATATAAAAGTAAGTGCACAACTTACTGTGACTCTCATAAAACATTCTTAAAACTAATGCTCATGCTTACTTGTTTAATAATCGCCTAATTAATTCTTTAAGTTGTAAACATGGGTTATCATGGGAGGAGGCTTAAATCCCAAAATTCACTAGTCTTTGTTTTGAGATTGCATTGAACAGGGTTGAAATAGAAAACATTATTAACTTGGCAGAATTTCATTTGGGAAGCTGCAAGGAAAAAATGCAGGAGGGCGTTTTTTATTAAGGAAATCTAAATTTGAGGTGTTACCTCCGCCATAAAAAAAGAATAAAGTCTTACCATTTGCGACAGTGTGGGTGGACCTACAGGGTATTATGCTAAGTGAAATAAGTCAGAAAGAGAAAGACAAATACCATATGATTTCACTTTTACATGGAATCTAAAGAACAAAATGAAAGAGCAAACCAAGTTGAAACGGACTCATAGATAACAGAGAACAGACTGATGGTTACCAGAGGGGAGGGGTACTTGGGGAACTGGGTGAAAAAGGTGAAGGGATTAAGTACAAATTAGTAGTTATAAAATAGTCATGGGGAATGTAAAGTATAGCATAGGGAATATAGTCACTATATTGTAATAACTATGTGTGGTGTGCCAGGTGGGTACTGGAAATATCAGGGGGAACACTATGTCAAGTATATGATTGTTTAACCACTATGCTGAACACCTGAAACTAATACAGAATAATATTGAATGAAAGGTCTAATTGAAAAATAAAAAATTATATGTTAAAAAAACAAATTTGAGATGTTACAGTTAGAGCCAATTCTAAAGGTCATGGAGGAAAAAGACTATAGGGGTTTTGTTTTTGGCGGGGGGGAGGGGGGAGTATTACTTTAAAACACATTATTTAGAATGTGGCTTTTTGAAAGCAACTTGTAAATACGGAGAAGGTCCACTAACACCTTGGTGGTTCTTCCCTTTTCCCCACCCCTGTCAGAACAGCAAAGGTGAGAACCCAGGAAAGAAGAGAAATACAGCTGGCTGTCTACTACCAGGAGGGCTTCAAAGATAAAGGGTGGCTCCTACCAGCAAGCAGCTGAATGAGGAGGACCCCTGGCTCCCTCTGAGGACAGGCTCTGTTAGAGACAGGGAGAAACAAGTGGACTTCCTACTGTCTCCACTCTCTGCTGGAGTTAGCTGTGCTCAGAGGAGCAGAGATCAGACAGCCCACATCTAGTCTACATCTAGAAAACCCAGGTTTTTGGCTCTTCTTCACTTGTCCTGGGAAATTCAAATGTCTTCTGCTGCTCCCAGGGAAGCTTTGGAAGAAGCCATCTTCATTGGGATACGCCAGTGATGGCGAACCTTTTGAGCTCAGCGTGTCAGCATTTTGAAAAACCCTAACTTAACTCTAATGAAAAAAGTTCATTTTTCTGGTTTGCTGGCTCCTCTGGTTCCCTTTTGGTTCTTCCCTACAATGCAGATAATTGAGAATTGCCAGCTGGTCTTTTCCCAGCAGATCTACAGAGAGCTGGCCTTTCACTTTTGGTTGGACTTTGTTATATACTTGGATTCTCTTAACTTCTCTAATCTCAAAGTTTGTGGTAGGAGCCCTTCTTCTTGACTTCAGTTTTTAGGAGCCTGAGTCTCCGTCATTAGTCTCTGGTAGTCTTCAGGCCTCTACTGAGGATAGAGTCTGTACAGTGGGGAGGGATGGCAAATCAGTGTTTTTGTGAGAAAGGGAGGGTGGAGTGAGAGCCTTTGCACCTTAGGGATATGTATTCACACAGTCCTCAGGGCTCAGTCTTTGAGGTAAGTGGAATTAGAGGACCCTGCTTTTCTTATTTCCACCCCTCCTAACACACTCCTTTTCCAGTTGCTGTGGACCAATGCATCTCTCTAGAGGCAGATATTATCCAGCAAGCAATCTATCTATCCTGTCCTTTATACTTGCTCTTTTTCATGTATTGTCTGCTGCAAGTGTTTTAGGTGTTACTACCTTATTTTCCTATAGTTCTACTCCTGTCCTTGCAAGCAGAAGAAGGTACAGCACCTGGGCTTAAGGCCTAAGGAAGCCAGTCACTTTTGCGGCAGGGGCTCCTTTCCTCCCTAACCACGGCACTGAACCACTTTCTTGCTGCCTCTGCAGAAGAGATTCCTATTATTGCAGCACTTGTGTCTGCCAAGGGTACCTTGGCCACTGTCTCTGTCCTTCTACAGAACTTGAGGGAGAAGGTGGCAGCTGTGTCTCTCCCCAAGTAATGTCACTGTTTGTATTCCTTCTCTTAAGCAGCTGGCCTGACCGCTCTTGAGTCCATAGTATGTGGGAGGGAGGAGAGGCACTCAAGCTGTAACCCTGAAGGAGGAAATGTCTAAGAGATTCTTCCAGGGGTAGCTGGTGGTTGTGCCTGTGGTAGGCTCTTCCCTTTGCCTTAAACCTGAAGATGTCTCCTCAAGCCCTTGGGCAGCATGCCCAGATTCCCAGACCTGAAGACACTGTGACAGTTGTCTGTGTTGGTCCACTGTGTTTCGTTGCAAGAATTTCTTGTTGTTACTGTTTTGTGATCAGTATTGTGACTTGACGATAATAAAATTTAGACTGTAAACTTGGCTTTTTTGCATTCATTTTGATTTGAGAGGGAGGGAAGATGACTTCTTAATTCCCTAGAGTCAGTCACAATTTGAGCCGGCTCAAACTTGTGAAACGGAAGCCCACAGAGGTGAGGCTCCCCTGTGAAGCCACAAGTGTGTCTGTACTCCCCATCACTTATCTTTCCAAACCACATTGCCACACGGACTCCAGGATATCCTGCAGTCCCTTAGTTTGGAAGTGTCAGGGACAAAAATTAGTAAGATGCTGCGTACCTATGTGAACATCATATCTCTTAGGCCTGCCTTTGTGTTTAGCAAGTAAGTTTCCCAAGATAATGTGCCAAATGTCAGTACAGCTGTACTAAGTCCTAGAAGAGGGTGAGGTTCAGCTAGCTTTCTTCTTGAAAAGTAAAGACTCACACTGGCACTGAAGTATCAAAGACCACAGTCTAAGAGAGAGGTTCCTATCAATCTTAGTACAGGCAGCGTGGAGGGGCCATTGAAAGACCTCTAGCTGCGGCTTATGCTGCCAGTTAGTTACCTTTGCCACTTGGCCTGTGATGAGCACAGGGCAGTTCCTAGCTTTGAGTTGACTGTTTCCTCCAGATCCAGGGTCGGGTGGAAGTTTACTACAGAAGCTATCCACCGTGTGGGGGAGCAATTGAGTTTAATAAGGAGCTGGCAGTATCTGTTCTTGAGTCGCACAAATCTTTGTGCACTGGGGGCATGGACATCATGGCACAACTTAAAATGACAGTTGGAACTCCCCCTCCACCCTTAGGTGGTGTTACAGCCAGAGGACCATGACTTTCCTCACCTCCATCCCCATTCCTCTTCAAATCATGTCAGTTTCCTTCCCTTCCCCATAGAGTGATGGGTATTTCTGGGCCTGATCTGGGGTCATGTAAATAGTGCCAGTCAGCCTTGGGGGTGGTTACTAGCAGGAGGAATGAGCGGTTTAAGATACTTCCCCCTCACCCCTGCCTCTTGCTTCCTCAGATCCCATTGCTCTCTGTTGCCCTGGTAACCAGCTCAGCAAGAAGAAACTCAAGCTCAGCAAAGCCCCCAGGTTCTCTGTCCTCCCAGCCTGCCTCTCAGTGGGCAGAACAGAAGAGTGTAAGGGCGGACAGAATGGGCCTTGGGTAGCCTTGCCCATCCCCTTCTGGAAGTCCATGGGCTTCTTGCCTGCATCTCCTCGCAGTTGTTAATACTACCCTCTTTCCCTCATTTTCTTCCACGATAGAGTATAGGTGCCCTCCAGCCCTCCTCCCCCTTGGGGTCAGCACACACGTCTGCTACCCTGTGGGCGAAAGATAAAGAATCCCAGAGTCTCAGTATCTGCAGCCACTTGGGTTGGGGTGTCCCGCTGGGGCAGTGATTTTCAATCATGGCTATTTGAATTACTTGGGGATCTTTTTAAAAATACCACAGTCCAGCGGTGTTGCTCAGTGGTTGAGCATCAGCCAATGAACCAGGAGGTCACAGTTTGGTTCCCAGTCAGGGCACATGTCTGGGTTATGGGCTCAATCCCCAATGTGGGGTATGCAGGAAGCAGCCAATCAATGATTCTCATCATTGATGTTTCTCTCTCTCTTCTCTCCCTTCCTCTCTGAAATCAATAAAAAAAAATATATTTTTAAAAATACCACAAACCTTGGCACCCTCTCAGTATTTTTTTAAATAGATTTTTAGTGATTTCAGAGAGGGAGAGAGAGATAGAAACATCAATAATGAGAATCATTGATCGGCTGCTGTCTGCAGACCCCTTAGTGGGGATCGAGCCCGCAACCTGGGCTTATGCCCCTGACCAGAATCGAACCCAGGACCCTTCAGTCGGCAGGCCAACACTCTATCCACTGAGCCAAACCAGCTAGGGCTCTCAGTATTTTTGAAAAGTTCCCCTGGATTCCATTGTGCAGTTGGGGTAAGTACCACTGCTGTTCAAGGAAAACCATGACTTGATACTGGCTTTCCTCCCTGATTTAAGGTCTTGAACTTATTCTCTGCCTAATATCCTTGAGTAGTTGGGGGGATCCTGGGGTCCTGCTCCCAAAGCTTCCAGTTTCTAGAATCCTCTCTGCCCCTTTTATTTTCAGCCTCCACATTCTCCACACTCGCCAGTTCTTCCCCCTTCCTAACCGACACTCCCAAATCCTGCCCAGAGAGGAGGTTACCAAGGCAACCAGCTTAATCTGGTAACTGTGGCATGTGCTGGAGTAGAACCCTCCCCTTTTCTTATTTGGTTCATAAAATGCCTGGAGAGCTCCAAGCCACTCCAGCCAGTTGCCCCTCTTAACCCCAGGGATATTAGGGTGTCTAATACAGGGAGCCCAAGAAGCTGATACTTGGGTCTCTATTTCAGCTTCTTAGCCAAAACTGTGCTCTCTCCTATTTACTGTTCCCTTTCTAAATCCACAAACATATGGGTATGCGAGCTCATTTCTGTGAACACATGCTCTAGCATACATAGGACCAGATATGCGCACACCCCGATATGCCAGTAGTGCACACCCTGTTCGATTCTACCACCACTCCCAGCCTTTAGCATTCCTGTCCCTGCCTGGTTGGTACACAGTACGCGGGTGCGGCATTGTCCAAGGCGCCTCAGCCCATCTGGAACCTGGTGCCACTCCCCAACCTTGTTACCTTAATCTCGATGTGCTTACACTGAGCCTGTCTCTCTACCCACTTCTTCCTCAGGAACAGAATGCTCCTGGCATAGGCATCAGGAATAAGGACTATTTGGAGTGCAAATTTGGCACCACTTTCCCCACTCCATGGTTGTGTCAACTCTGGGGAGCTCGCTATACTTAATGATGTCAGATGGCAGCGCTGGAGCTTGTCACCCATCTCCACAGCCCTGCTTCTTTCTGCTGCCAGCTGGGCTTAGGTGCCCTTGTGCTCCTGGTCTCCTCCCCCTGCCGACTGTCTCTTCTCACCCCAACTAGACCTGCCACAACCTGCTGCTCCCCACCTGGCTCCTACCTGCCTGCCAGTACCTGCCTTTCACAGGCCAGGCCCTCACCATCTATTGTGCCCTGCCAGAAAGGTTAGATGAGTGCCGCCTCCAGGGCCAATGCCAATCCACCCCAGGCCTTCCCAGCCCTTCTTGCAGGAAGGGAGATAAAGACCACATATTCCTCTAAGTGTGTCAACAGAGTAAACCATCTGGGTTGAGAGTGATGGATACCCAATCAGCAATCTTTGTAGGTCTCACCTGAGTACAGGTAGGTGCGTCAAGGCATGCAGGCCACAGACCTGCCCTGGTTCTTTGAAATGACCCTAGGTTCCTCTGTAAGCCTCCGAGCCAGGAATCCCTCGCCATTGGTGTATCACTCTTACTTTGCCCTGAATTTCTGCGTCTTCTCTGAACTCTCCATCCAACCCCACTCAGCTCCTTACAATCCGAAGTGGTCCCGGTAGCCCCCATGACCAGCCCCAACGCCCAAGTTCAAGCCTCGCGCGGCCCAGGGGGCGGGCC